GGCTCTCGTGGCCTGGAGGTTAAGGTGTTGATCTGTTATTCAAAGGCCCCGGGTTCGAATCCTGGTACCGATCGAACATTTTTCTTCTCTATATTTGTTGTTTCCTTTCACCCCCTTTCCTGCTCTAACAATGTTCTGTCGTCTGCTTTCGTCTCCCCTTTCTGCCCCCACCCCCTCACTTCCTTTGCCCCCCTCCTCTGGGCTCCAAGCTCTTTCTGCAGTCTACTGCTACTTCTTGACTCTTTCTTACTGCTGTCTTTCAGCCACACCCCTGATCTTCTGGAAGGAATGATCTACACCTAGCCTTCTCACTTCTCGGACGAGGACGAAAAATCTTGGAGGGCCCGTGTGAAAGTTGCGTACCTTAAAGATTTCATGGTGGTCTAAAATCAGTGAGAGGCCGCCACCTGGGAGAAAATCCAAACTTTCCTACCAACTGAAAAAGTTTCAAGTTAAGTGTTCCGCACGCTCATAATAATATGACCGTAAAGCACTTACGGAAAAAAGGAGAGATAATATGAGTTTCCCTCAAGGAGCTCAAATTGTAACCTCCTAAAAGGTTTCCTTAGATCGTAGTCCTCCTACACTGACACAAACAGGTATGACAATGCTTCCTCTGCAAGGCCCTTTCATGAGTGTTGCCAAACTGAACAACAAAAACACAGCAACGAAATGTGCGTGCAGCCATTCGGGGAAAAATTGTTATGATAGATTTTACATTCTACGTTTACATGCATAATAAGGTTCTTATACAAAGCCAGTGTGCGCGCGAAACGACTAGCTTTTATATTGGGCTCCTGTGGCGTTAGGTGAAGGTCGTGGAGCTTCTCGGGTGTCAGAATGTGAGACGACATTAAGCGAGGCGTTGCTGGATCAGTGGCTTTTTTGTGCTGTTAAAAATGTTTTTATTAAACAGGTTTCTTTTATGTTTGTTGTTGTTGTTTGTTTTTTTTTTTATTTCAATTTAACGACCGTTTACTAAATTCCAGGCACATAAATTAGGCTATCAATTGGAAAACAGCTAGCAGGGCTAAATTCCGATGAAGAACCCGTATAGAAAGATCCTTTAGAAAATTTCGGACCCTTCCCGGGTTCAAACCAACACTTCATTCAATAGGTCCCCGGTTCGAAACCTGAGAGTGACCGTAAATTTTCTTTTCTAAAATTGTCTTCTTTCACCTCCTTTCCTGCTGTGTAACCATGTTCTGTCGTCTGCTTTCGTC